TTGCTCACTTGTTTGCCAATCCAGCTTTGGAAAAAATAACATCCTGGGCGAAGTCGTAATGAGTGTGCCCAGGTCCGCGCCTGACAATGAAACATTCCTCCGACACCAGCACGTCGTCCAACGAAATCCGCACTAATTTCGCCTGCATAATGAAATAAGATAAATATCCAGAATTTAACCCATATTACTCAAAATTTGTCGTTTGAAAACAGCCACCAATCCAAAGTCCATTTTTGACAAGAAGTATATTTTCTTTTTTTATGACGGTGACGCTGAGAAAATTCGCAGTAATATTTTGTTGAAATATTTTGTTGCGCACAAAAAGACTGCGAATATAGTGCTACAGTACTTGGAAAATGTATTTTCCATTCTTGACTGAATTATTCCAGTCAAGTGCACTAAGGATGTTGTTGATTCGCAATTCAAAACGGAATCGACTCAATAAATCTCGAGACAACTGCATTCAAAACAACTTTGCCCCGGGCAAATCAACGGAATATTAACTTAAGCACGTAAACAGAAACGGGCTTTAAATTTATTTAAATTCCAGTTTTAAGTTAGATGAAAGTGCATTTTTCTCACTCACTCCACGATAAGTGTCTTCAATCGAGCCGTTGTAATTCCAAATGCGTATTCCTCCGAGATTCATTGCTTCTGGTAACTCAATCGCAATCAATGCATCCCCCGATGAACTGTACGGACACATCCACATTTCCTTCTTGTCCTCTGTCACATTATTTCCATTCAACAATCTGCAAAAATTTTTTTCGAAACAAGAAAACGAGAACATAGTAAAAAGACCTGCTCAGCTCAAGAAAATAAAGAAAACAATCGCTTCGCCGTTAGAAGATGCGCAAGAACATGAGGGGATTTACAGTCGCAGAAAAACGGCAAAAACTACGATTTACATTTCTTTTTGAAGGTATCTCGCAATTCATCGAAAAATAATCGTAACAAACCTTTTCACGGTATCAGAGCTTGCTCGATGAGCCGGATAACGAAGAGAAACAGCTTTGGTCGGCAAGTTGATCGGTTCTCCGAGTTGGTTGAGCACTTGAATGCCAGACATTCCTGACGT